TCGATCACCTTGGGAGGTGAACTGCCGGTGGGCCGTATCCACACAATTAAACGTAACGTACACGGTGCCATTGGGAGTTGAAAGTGCCGGTTCGAACCTGTCAAAACATCAGAACCTGAACGCGATCCGGTGCCAATACCAAAACTAGAAGCATTGGTAGCTGCTGATGTTACACAGAGGAAAACACAAAGAGGGTTAGCGAAAAAAGGTTCTCAAAAGGTGGTCGCGTACTCTGTATACAACAAGTGGACCATTACACCACGCAACCTATCGTATGATGACGTGTTGTAGCAAACACCTATCGTACCTTTCGCTCGGTGGAAGGTTCGTCCAGGAGATCCCTGCCGCTGAGCCCTTCCCCACCGGCCATCTCCAGGTCGGACACTTCCGGTTTGGGCTGGAACGCTGCTGGCGACAGCATGGCTTCGCCTTGGAAATTCTGTGCTCGATGGACGTTGCGCGACGTAGAGCGGAAGGGCCGAGAGGGAGGAACGCCCATGGGGAGACGGGAGGGGGGGGGGGGGGGGGGGGGGGGGGGGGGGGGGGGGGGGGGGGGGGGGGGGGGGGGGGGGGGGGGGGGGGAGTGAGAGGGGTGTCATGCGATGAAGAGAGGCAGAAGCGGCGAGATCGAGAGTCAAACACAAAGAAGAGTATGCATAGGAGGAAGAAAAATTGTGAGAACGAGACGCAGAGGTAAAGGGAGAGAGAAAAAGAGGACAAGCAGAGAGAGGGAGGGGGGACTTTTGGGAGCAATGGCGACGGGAGATGAGTCGTGGTGGTAAATTACCCTGGACCACCGTCGACAACATGCCATGTATCAGCGCAAAGAGGGCATACTATTTAGTGGTCTAGCGACAAAAAGACTCTCCGAGGAAAAGTGTAGCTCCTTTGGCACCAAAGCTTGAGAGAGGACCGTTGCAATCGCAGAATGCTTCGGTATTGTTGGATTTAATCCCGCGGAGTGTGACACACACGCACGAGCCACGAGCGATTCAACCAGATTTCATGAAGCCCCAAAAGCATAGTAGCAAGAATTAAGCCCTAAAGCATGAAATCTTGGTTACGGCCTAATATTCACATGTGCAGGCATGCCAAGTGGCAGCACACAAACGCACATTTCAAGGGTTAGCCGGTTGTTACGGTCATAGAGAGCCTAACACTCCACGGCTAAGTCACACACTATTCACTGTTTTGAAGCTACACCGAGAAACCGAAGCTCCCCGTCAAGACACGAGGCGTGTGTGGCGTACGCCCAAACATGGCGCGGTCACTGTCGTTCGCAAGGGAACGCTAGAACGGCAAGCACGAAACCTGCATAGGACCGCAAGAAGAAAGAGAAAACTTGGCCCAACAGTTGGTCTACAATGCCTGAGGTACGAACTGCTGGCGCCGATCAAAACATGGCGCACCTGTGCGGTCATCACGGCGTCCACCCCTAGTTCCGATGGCATCGGCGGCATCACAACCCCACCCTCATCTGCATTATCCTCGTTTTCCCCGTCCACGTCCACCTCGGATTCGGGTGCGACTGGTTTCGGCGGGGATTTCGCTGCTGATTTTTCTCCGTCTACCCTCCGCCTTCGCCGCTTCTTGGCCATCATCGTAACGCTGCCTACAGTAAGCGAGAGACCGGGGAGGGGGGCGGGCGATGGGCACTCAGTCATTCATTGCTTGCCAGATTCTTGTGCATCCTCCTTCCTCCCGGCACAATGGCATCTCTTTCCCGGAACGAGCTCGCAGACGCACTCATTGCACGCTTGCCTTAGGCGAGATACTACCTGATCGTGCACTTCCGTTCGGACGGCAAACAATCAAGCTAAAATAATGAAACCATACAAGGTGTTCACAAAAACGGGGGGGGGGGCTCGAGAGGTCTTCGTATACCTTCACAACGCACAGTGATGATTCTGCCGAGCCGAACCTAGAGGCGAGGTATCCATAACTCAGGTGGGGAGACAATTGGTCGCAACGAGAAACACGCAACGACAATTGGCGACCTTCTATCGTGGAACGGGTGCGAGCCGGCGCGGCAGGTGTTGGCAGAGAAAGGACACGAGCAGTACATTACTGCAAGTATATTCCGCGCGTCCATGCCGTGTGCAAGGCTTCCAGTGCCCTGCTTCCACTGCACAACAGCATCAAACGAGCGTGTGTGCAATGGACGCCTGCAAGCATGACAACTCAACCGCCCCCTACCCACTCCCTGCATCTGCTGTGTGTACAAAGGACAGCATCATGACGGCCTGCTTGGGGAGAACATGCATGCACTGCTGTAATGTAGCGGTACAGCAGTACAGCAGCAGTCTACAGCGGTAGTCAAAAGCAGTAGTACAGCGCAGTACATGACGCCTTGTTGCAGAGGCGCAATTTGGAAGGCAGGAACGGTACCATTATCCTTGCGATGAGAGGGCTGTGTGAGGCAAAGAAAAACCTTCATCACGCTTCCTCCGGGGTAAACGTGCAACCAGCACCAACGCACATGTGGCATGTCGTCCCCATCAACATGCTCCTCTGGCCTCGATCATGATGTGCATGTCGGTTCACAACTCAAAAATATATCATCGCAGGACAAATGAGGCCCGTACAGCACACATACGGCAAGTCACCATACCTCGTTCACTCCTGGAGAGACAAGACTGTGACAGGGCAACGCCAAGGTTGAATGAAGATGTTCGCTTGACACAGCCGGTCCTCCGGAGACCTGCTTCTGATCGCGACAGCAATGCCAAGTCGCTCGTTGATGCCCGTAGCGCAGGCCCCAGGAAGCCGCTACCATCATGCAGGACCATCATGAAGCTCAAGGCTCCGTAAATCTTCGATCGGGACATGGCGCTATGCGGGGAGAGAGCCCCCAACACACAGCGCGTAACCCTGTCTCCGGTGCTTGCTCGGTCACCGCTGTCTGGTGTGCTCGGCGCTGTGCTGCTGTGCTGCTGTGCTGCTGTGCAGGCCGTGTTCGCGGTTGCACGTCTACCGACCCCCCTTCCAGTGCTGCAACACAGTTTTGTCCGCTGATCCCCCATCTCCGGTGTGCGTTGTTTGGCAAACACAAAACATGCGTTAGAAGTAGAGATTTGCATCTCGGTGCGTTCATTGAACAGGTCGACTGCGTATGTCACCCACTGCTTCGCACGAGGGGATGCCTGCCCATGAGGCCGCTGATACCGCGCCGGGTAACGGATCGGCAGAAGGGGATATGGATAGAAGTGGTACGTCCGGCGGCACCGTTGAAGGAGACTCGAAGACAGCGGCCCTATCGGATACGCGGCCATCATCATGTTCTGGTAAACGCCCTCTTGCTACTTGCTACAGCCACATCTCGGTAGTGTTCATCTCTGTAGTCCTCTGCGTGGTCCTCTAGTTGGAAGCACTACCTTAAGTGTAGCGAAACCCTGGATAGCACGTGTAGGATCCGTCCGCAATAGTGTCAAGTTTTCGAGACGGGCGGGTTGCAATAGACTCTCTTACGAGCTTTTCGTTTTCAAGTTGCATATGCGTCACGTGTTTTGCGAAAGTAGGTCCTCAAGGCGTGTAACCCATGTGCACACGCTGTGGGCTTCGCTGCGAATAGCCTTTCTAACGTGGCCCTCATGCGGCAACCTTGCACGGCACCGCTGCATGTAACTCACCCTCAACCATTTACACGGGGATCGGGAGTATTGTGCGGAGGGCTGCGCTCGTTGAGCAATTCGCGAAACTGTAACGTTGACATTGCTCACTATCCCAGAATCAATCGATCGATTGATTGCTGTCTTTCGCGCGCGCTCTCCGCGGGTGGAATGATCCCGCGAGCGAATGCAGGCTACAGCTCTTGTCTCAGCGAACAGCACTGGCCCCGGACAGCACAGCACTGCTGTTGTCCACTGGCTTCGTGTAACGCCGCTTTAAAACTCCGCACATACAGCAGTATGACACCCACACAAACAATCGATATTGTTATTTTTTTGTTCTCGGAACCACGCCGGTCTCCAAACGACAAAACATGAAGACACGACGAACAACAACAAAAAATTTCAGCTCATGACGGGGTGGGTACCAAGGTTAGCAGCACCGAACACCGGCCAGATTCACCAAGATTTGCCGTTGATTACGTAGTAGTTGTCTTGAATGAGTGACAAGAGCCTACCGGCGGCGTGCAGCGCTGCGGGTGGGTGCCCAAAAAGAGAACAACTTCTATCCGACTGGTGCATCACAGAGAATTTTATTTCCGATCTCTCAAGCTGGATCTCTCCCATGGATATACAGAATAAGGAGTAGACTTGCGCGCCCCTCGTCTCTATTTCTCTTCGGGTCCATGTTCATCTGCCTTGTGAGTTGGCCGTATGCATACAAGAGCGTACTTCGTAGTTGATACTGTTGTACGCTGCATGTGCAATCGTTGAACCACCCTCCAGAATTCTGTCGTTTGCCATTTGACAGTTTCGGACTAAAAAAAAATCCGAAATAAGGAAAACATATTTTGAGTTGAGCCGTTGTCTGAGGATCGCTCCTGACAGTCTCGCCAGAACCCACAACAAGGAAAAAAATTACAGATTTAGGAACCGAAGGAGGCTTGTTTGTGGATTTTTTTTCACGTTTCTTCGATTTCGCAACTTTCTTCGAAGTAACACATCACACGCACCACCGCACGCACACACAACAGTCTGCTGAGAACACGTCGGCGCGGCCAAATAGAAGGCCAGCGCCCAGCGAAAGGCCTTGGAGTTGGCGCGCTACCAACACAAAAACAGGGAGGCTGCACGGCCAGAACGTTGGTTTTGTTCCCGGCTGGCTTGAGGTCAGCAACACGCCCGTCAGATTGAGGCAAGGGGCAGGAAGAGCGCATGAACGTAGAGGTGGTGGCAACGCCGCCAGCAAAGAGGAGCTGAGGGGAGGAAGAGCACGTAGTGGCCTCCTGGTGAAGGCGGGCGCGTCCTTCCGCGCGCAAGAGTATTTTCTCTGGTGTCTACTCGAAAGAAAAGCGTTTGACTCGAATGTGCCTTCCGGTCCCAACCCCCCCGTCTCTCTCCCGAACGCTTGAAACGCGACATGGCACTTCGTTCAGAGGCTGTCGTCGGCCAGTGTACAGTAATCACTTCCTGTCTCCGTACTGGTGTGGTGTGGATTCGTGTGCTGGGGTGGAAGGAGCGACGCAGACACGGACACGCGCACGCACGCACGCACACTCAACAGCAGCAGCAGTGAGAGCCCCTTGTCATCAAGCAAGGTGCACAGCTAGCTGTCACGCAGCTCACCCCGAAAAAACAACAGCACCTGCGGACAGGGGAAGTTCGTGGGAGGACTGTTGATCCACAGCCAATCACATGAAGCCGCTTAAATCTGAAATTTTTCACCTGCACGAAGTTTCCAGGAAACTTTCTTGTCTCAAAATCTGCTTCCTTAAACCGGAAAATGTGGAGCCCCAGTCCGAAACTGTGTATTTCCTACAGAATTCTGTCAAGTTTAATCTCTCCAACACTTGAAGTCGTCTCAATGCCTACCGCAAACTGGCAGCCACCTATATGCATACGTGTACAGAACGGGCCCGGAGATAAGAAACGTCAAAATCAGGTCGAGCCTCAATATCTTATTTTGGGCAGGACCAGCCGAAGTCGGCCCAATTTCTTAAAAACCGATTTCTTATTCGTTTGGGCTGTCGCATCCTGCTCATCTCTTGGTTCCTTATTTCTTATTTCTGGCGAAGAGAACAACACACACATACACCGGTACTACAGCAGCAGTGGCTGGTGGGTACAGCGCAGCCCGCGGGGGCGCGGGGGCGCGGGGGCGCGGGGGTCGCCGCGAAAATATCCTCCCCCCCCCCTACGAACCAATTCACTTCGTAAGCTCGGCAACCAGGTTACCGTTTTTTTTTTAACCTCAGTTTTTTTTTTGGCGGTAACCATAATGGTGGTCGAGTGGATCATGTTGTGCGGGGTAGAGACGCCTGACTCCGCGCAAGGGGGATGATCGCACCACGTTGTGTTAAAATGGCCAAGCACCCTCGAGGCAGTTACACATTGCTTACAACTGTCTCTGGAAGTGAACACCAGAAAACACATTTAAGTCATACGCAGCTGTCATCGGTACGCAAGGAAGTAAGCACAAGATGCCGAAAACCCTTAGCAGGATGCAGCGCACCCTTCATGCGACTCGCCGAATACTTCGCGCTTGGTGATGTGAGAGCCTGGTCCGGTGAGAACCCGGCGTGCTCCGTCCCGGCTTTGTAGGGATGCGAGGCCAATGGTCTAACGACTGCGGCATGCACGACTATGAGTATACCCCCCCCTACGAATATATATTTCATGTGCTAGGTAGGGGTCGGGAGCATGGCAGCAGCAGCATTATCAGTGGGACGTTTCTTATTGGACGCGCTCCCCCAGCAACCCCCCTTGTTTTTGATATCTGGGGGGTATCGCACGATCATGTTTCTTGTGGGGACGTTTCTTGTGTTGTGGCCAAGACTGAGCTGAGTTTCTTAGCCCTGTTTTCTTATTTTTCGTTAAAAGTTGAGCCAATTTTTCTGAACAGAATTGATTGCGGGCCCGTTCTGTATGTTGGCCTTGGTTTACGAGTTGATACTTGTACATCTACGCTGCATGTGCCATCAGTTCCTCAAATTTAAACACCATCTAAAATTCGGCGGTTTTGCCATTCCTATCCATGCAATGCACCTCTGTAGCTCGGAAGGTGAGCTATTCTGCTGTATGATACCCACAGTTAGCCCCTGCGATAAAGAACAAACCCTTTAAGGCAGGGCAAGCACAGCAGTCAGTTTTACGCTTGCTCTTTCTTATGCTGAAGTCCTGTAACACAAAAGAGAGAAACCAACGTTCCCGCCAGAGTTATGTGGTGCGTTATACTGTCATCAGTAGAGGACAGGATACCATCAAGAGACGTCGTGGGTGCTGGTGCTGGTTTGCTACTGGATATCGAAGGTCGCAGCAGTCTGTCTAAACAGCCCGGCATCTGCGCCGGAACCGAGCGGAATCCAACATTTGTCACAGCCAGCCGTGCTCACCGCCACGAACCGTGAAGCCCTGAACGGAAGGAGTTAGTGGCATCAGCTAGTGCTGCAACCCGCAGTTCGGGAAATTGCGACCGATAGCTGAGTACTCACAGAGAGCACCTTCACTGGAACACAAGTACTGTATTCATACCATGTCGCCACCAAGCTGTAGTTCTGACAAAAGAGTGAGAAGCAGCTGAGGCTGGGTTCGCTGAAAGATGTCACACGCCTGTTGACCTCATCTTGAAACCATACAAAGTTCTATGGGCAACATGTCATCGTCGTCCATGCCTCCAATCACGACACGTACCAGGGTTGAACCACCTTTTTCTGTGAGCGCCGACACTGATCGAGAGGCCAGAACATCGTTCAACTCGACAAAAACTGCCTCAACCAACCCACGTGATACCGCAATCCGACGGGCTCCGATGAGGTTTTTATCCAGTTTTTTTCCCGGAAATTCCCGGAAAAATCCGATGCCAAAATACTTTCCACTGCAGGCGCGTGGAATTCTCGCGGGCGCACGGAGTCGATTCTCGTTCGACACTAGTTTCGAAGGGCATGTGTTGACGTCCTACACAGCAAAAGTGAGGACCGACTGGATACCGGACTCCAACAATTGCAATTCTGCCTATTATAGAGTCGGTACAATGAAGCTTCCCCGCTAATCTGGTAGCCAAACCAAGCGATTCACCCTCCGAGACACACGTGATTGCCGGCGAAGGCAACATTAAGCATTTCTTTTGAGGACGTGGTGGCGTCCAGAGCAACGCATGGGCAACCCGTGAATACCTGTTGGAGGGTGCTAAGGGTTGGTCACCTGTGGTGCACTGGCATCCATAGGATGGAGAGAAGTGGAGAGATGCAGAGGTTGGAGAGAGGAGGGTGGAGAGACAGACGGCGGGAGGGGAAGAAAAGACCCCACTCAACCATTGGGAGTGAAATTGATTGGATGCTGTGTCTCCTGATTACTCGCATCTACCGCGCAAAAGAAGGGTAACCAATTAAGTACGTCAGCCTCAGTGCGGCAAGCAACGTAAAACGCCATGATACCGCTCTCTCTCTCTCTTTGCGGGTGTAGAATATAACAAATTCTCATGTTTTCCCCCGGGTTCGGCGCCGTTGCTTCGCGCCGTCTGCGTTCCCCCTTTCCTATCGCCAAAAGAGAGTTATCTGTCGCCACACAATGCCGAGAGGGAGAACTCTGTGACGACCGCCCCCGATGCTGCACCTGGCTCGCGAAACGCAGCGCTGTCAGGGGTCAACAACAACGACGGCGGCGATGCTCCCCGCAGGGCCGCGGAAGGAGGGGGTAAGGAGGCGGCTCTCAAAATCCTGACCTACGGAGGCGTCAACACGATGATGGCGGTGCCTATCCTTTACGGATACGCGGCCATCATTTTCCGGTGAGCTCCTACCTGCAGTAGCGAAATCATCCTCGAAAGGCGGAAGAAGTTTTTCACGCGCGTTGGATTGCAATGGTTGTGTTTTCACGTGATAGATTGGCCGCGTGTATGGATCCATTTCCACCCGTTGGATTGCACCTTGCTTATGGATCCATGTCCTGTCGCGCGTGTGTGTGTAGATCTTTTCTTGACCTGCTGGATTGCCCGTGTGTGGACTCCATGATTGTGCGACCGTTTCGCGTAGCCGGGTAGGTTAAGGGTAGGGTTTGCTGCGCCAAACACCCAAACCAAGCGGGCCGTCGTGCTATTGAAGGCGAAACCGTGGGGAAAACAACATGTGTTCCACGCACTTTTTCTCCGAGTAGCTTGTCCAATATTTACCGTTCAGGGTTCCTGCTTATGCACGTTACCGTTGACGATGTTTGAGGCTCTTGCTGTTGTGGCGGTTGCATCGTCATACAATCCGAGGATAGGTTGTCGTCGTCAAAAAGGTTTGTGGAGTAGCCGATCATTTTCACCATCACATTTTTCGCGTGCCGCAACCTAGAACCAATTGGTTCGTGGGCTTTGGTCGTATTGGTGAGAACACCTTCCGGTTGGGCTCATGTGTTCCTCATGAAACCTTTTGCCGGTGTATGAATACGCGGGATGTGGAGAGAGTGTAGTGATGTTGATTTTGTTCTTTGTTTGATTTGAAGTAGTCATGTCAAGTTGTTCAAGAGGCGGTTGTAATTATCATTCTGCGACATGCGATATGCTTTGCACACACACGGCCAGAGTTTCAAATGTGAAACTGCTTCGAGTATCGACTACGAAAGAACGCCGAACGATAAGTCTGGAAGAGGTTGGTGAACGAATCGATCCTTTCTTAACAAAACCGCTGTCCCCTCTCGTGTCGTCGTTCGCCTCTTCTAACCGGATGTTGGGCGTTGATGCTGTGTTATGCGTACGTGTCACACGTATCGTAACCGTCGACGTGCAACAGCCACCCGGTCTTCGCGCCCTACATGCCAGCCCTCGCCAAGCTCGTGCTCTTCAGCAGGTGTGTGCTGAATGGATATCGGGGCCTAGATCTTTGGTTCAAGCCTTGGGTGCGAAGCGGGGCTACGGGCGTAACCCATTCGTGACGAGTTGATATTTTGGCTGTGGCTCGTCCTCGAGAACTGGCTCTTAAACGACGAATGCTCCACAGCGGTTTACGTGTGTGCCCACAATCGCAAAGGTACACGCGCGCGAATCACGGCAGCAAGGAGGATACGGTACAGTAACAAGGCGACATCCATGCGTGTTTGCGACATTTCTGCAGACAAAGTAATTGGAAATGGAATCGGAACTGTAGACACGTATGCATTGGTGTTGGGGGTGCCTCCCGCCTGGCGAGAAGTAACCAGAGCCTCTGACTACAACCCATTGGAGCGACTTTCGCGGCGAGAAAGATGCGGAGTGTGTCCCAGCGCTCTCCGGAGGCCCAGCTTGCTTCACTTTCCGACGGCAACGAGATAACAGGACAGGTAGCGATATTGTGTTTTCCTTGCCTCTTCTGCTTTCGCTGGCGCTACGGCTGTCGTTGATGAAGGTTTCGTGTGTGTGGCTGACGACGGTGACCCGCCCCCACCGCCTGTGCCTGTGGCCCTTGCTATTGACCCGTGCCTGTGCTGTGCTGCGCTCTGTCTCCCGGTGCCCCTCAGCATGGTTCATCAGGCGGTATTTTCCCTTGTCAGCACACTACCCTTCGCGATCGGGCAGGTTCAGGTGCGACGTGTTGTGCAACGTGACAAGTAGTGACGTGCCGCCGCCACATTTTCTTCCATGTTTCTGTGCAGATCCTTTCGAGCCCTCGACGCCACGATAGTACGAGCTTCACGCGCCATGTGTACGCGTCACCCGCGGCTATGCGACGTGTCTCAGGGGCTTACGAGGTGCGCCATCCAGCCCGAGGACATAAGGCTGGATGCACATGTTCCCGGCGCTCTCCGCGAAACATCTCCTTGATTCTGTGTGCTTCTGTGGCTCACTTGACCAACATGGCCTCTTTGCGTACCCAGCAACCCCGCGATGTCGCTCTCTC